AAACAGTGTATACATACTTTTGGGACACCCTGTATGATAAGAAAGAAATAAAAATCATTTTACTGGAAACGAAAAATTTCTTTTGAGAAAAAAAAGAGATTGGTGATTTTTTGTGCATAATTCAAACAGTTTCTATAATTGATGTTTGCGTAAATAAAGAAGGTTTGCTTGAATGCTTTCTAATCGTTTTAAAACTCTTTTAAAGTTAAATTTACGTTGTGAAAGACATCTAATACTTATAAAATCTTCGCTGAAGGAAATGGCAGTCAACTTAAACACTAAATTCGGACTTTGTCATCGGCTGAAAAAGTGCGTAATGATCGTTGAAACCATTGTGGTTTGGCTAAATAAACAAGTGATCGCATGTACGGCTTTGAAAATTTATTCGTTATATCTGTTTATTTTGTTCGTTATATTTTCTTTATTGTGCTCTGTAAAGTCAGTACCTAAATCCAGCGAATGTCAAATTGAATGATAACTTTTTGGGTATTCATTTTTTGAGTCAACAATGGCTAATTTTGGTGCACGCGCGTTCTTACATTCTATCAACTCCATAGTGCAGATTGAAGGCTCTTTCTATGTCCTGTTGTCTGATTTATCAGCATTTGTGCCATTGTACTCTGGATCATTGTTTCTGGATAAAGAGAAAGATACGCTAACGATTGGTTTTGATCAAAAAAGGCCGAAGGATCATGTATAGCGAGGGAATGTTGTGCCAAACCAATAGATACTATCAAAGCCAATCTATCAAATGCCTTGCTATTTATCACAGTGAAGCTTTTACAAGCACGCGTCATGCCTTATCTTCTTCTGTTATCGAATTTTTATCGTGTAACATGGTGAAACTTTTGGGGTATGCCAAGAAGGATTAACTTCCATTGCAAAAAGGTTTTCCAAATGTTTTTCCAAATATTCAACTGCTTTTGTCTAAAGAAAAATGCATGTCATCAAAGTAAAATTTGGATTTGAATTATGTGAAACGTTTGCTTTTTAACTTCAAACTGTAGACGTTTGTTTGGCTCATCTATTTGCTCATGCCTTAAACAGAATCTCAAAATAATAGCCCGAAAGTTTGAATAAAGTCACATGTAGCTAGCTCGACCTGAAAATGAATCAAATGAAGAAGAATCTAATACGGTTAATAATCGATTATTATATTTTTCATTATTTTTCTAAACATCCTATTGTTTTGTAGTGGTACTTTTTGCAGAACTTCATGATGACCTCGACTCGTTCGCCAACTCACCTCTGTCCCAATTTGGGCTTGAGTCCGACTCATCCTCCCCATCATCATTCTGCTCTTTGGATCTGGATTATGATTCTCGTGGTAAGCGCACCGTTCCACATCCAATTACCCTGACATTGATCCATTTTCAGAAAACACCCTATCTGTTTTTCCATATGATGATCACCCCTCCCCACTACTCGGTATGCCAGATCCAATAATGCCTGCACTAGCAATGAATGATTCGTTGGCAAGTACAGCTCCTATAAGAAGGCCAATGTTAGGTAGGCTCGTTGGGTTGCTGGGACTTATGCTTACTATCTTCTTCAGTTCGGAAACGAATGCACGAATGTTCTATGGTTTGTTGGCTTTTTCGCACGTTGTTGACGTCCGAATATAGAGCTTTGCCTCTGAATGCTATATTCGAAATTTTCGAAGACACAGTAAGTTTGGTCAGGTTGTCATGACTGGAAAAAATGTTACTTTTCAGAACCCATCATCCGCCCATGGTCGACATTGGCGGCAATCCATACGGCATTGCTTGATGTCTTCTGCTGTTTTCGTCAGAGTTTTGACGCCGAATGCAAGTTTGCAGTTTTTGAGTAGAGATAAAATAAAACATACAGGAAACATTCACTTAAGTGTTAGTTACATGGGGCTATAGCCTGTACGGGCTTAGAATCTTGTAAGTATGGCCCTCAAAGGCAGTATCCGGCTAAATCTAACCCTCTCGTATTAAGCCGATTTTGAATGTAAGTCCCAGCAGAGGGCATCTGCGTTGGTCCGGTCCTCTAATGTTGTCTGTGAATTGCGAAAATGGATCTAGAACAGGGAAAGCGCTATGAAGGCACACTATCCTACCAGGCTTTGTCCACCCTAGTGTCTGAGTCTTTGGGATAGGACCCTCAAAAACCAGGTTTTTGTTTTGCACATTTCAAACTGCAACTACAACCAGAACGAGGACAGCCTCAGAATGACAAAATCTGAGAGTGAGATTTTGGGTGGACACTGCCTTTAAATGTGTGTGGAATAACGTAATAGCTTTGTATTATGGCAGATTTTCTCTTTCCTAGACCTTTCATTAAAAATCTTGTGAACTCAATGTTAATAGTCGGTTTCAGCCTCGCAAGGACTTCCTGGTAATGAATGAAGCCGGATCATGGTGGACAGTACATCCGGATTGTGAAGCAGCTTGCGCCGATGAAGTTTTTCGACCCGGTGTTGCTCATCGGTGCCCACCAAACGGAGGTGGAGCTGTTAGGTAAGAGAACAACTTCTAAGAATCATTTGGTTTGTTTATTGACGTAAAATTGTGTTTAAAGAATCGCGTTCTGCAAGAAATAAAAGCACTCGTAGTAGGATAGGCCCACGAGATCCAAAAATGAAAACCAAATTTTTCCGCAGAGTCAGAAATCGTCGAGAAATGTATTTTTCAGGATGAAGACGTACCAGGTTGACGACACTAGTGAGATCATCTATCGGGACACTACTCGTGGAAAGTGGACGAATGAACGAATTTATGCACGAAGACGCTTGCCTCTGGAAAGGTTTGCGTTTGTTTGATATACTGAGTATAAACCGAGCTTCGAGATTACTCATCAGTTAATCTTTTCGCGATCAACTTGCCTAAAAGACAGTGTCCCGGCAGATTTGAATTGTTGGAAAGTGGCCAAGTCGGGATAGTAAACTTACCTGTTGGACTTTGGCCAATTCGGATCAGATTCTGTCCGGAATCCGCAGAGAAAACGCCTGCACCGGCGCGCGGCCTCGGTTTGACGCGCGCTGTATGACTTCAGTGTTTCAATCTGCACGGGACCTACACTACAGTTAGGGCAATACCTCAGCTATTCAGCGCATGAATTACCGTCACCAAGTTTTTCGTACCTCGCCTTTGCACGTGCCATACCTCGACCGTTGCATTTCAAAGCTAAAATCTCGTTCTTTTCGAAAGTGTGAGAGCGCTTTGAACTGACCTGTCGCGCTCAAAAGCCCCTTTTCCGGGTAGAGCGTGATGGAAAGGTGTGAGTAACGCAAAATCAAAAAATCTGCCGGGACGATCCTCTAAGTCGAAAAAAGCTGCGATGGTCGCCTTTGTAGCTTGTGTCAACTACATACTTTTCTATGCAACGTCCGTGCCAGACCTTTGCTCCACGTTCGCGCGCGCTTTTTCGTTCACCTGAGTTTATTTGCCAAGCTGAATTCAAATAGTCACTCCCAAAGCGCAAAAATAAAGAGAACAAGCTTTTTCCGATCCTGTCATGAATTGTGGACCAATGAAACAGTTTCCGTCGACTGAATGTGAGAGCAAATTTGCCGTGACCCCTAACATTAACTGTGACGCATGCGCATTCTGCCATTGATTAAGAATTTCAGTCTACTACTTTCCCATCGTGTTGTAAGTTTTTCATTCTGCGAGGCCTTTCTCGCTTTCGGTCCAACGTTATGACCTCGCACTTGTGCGATGTTTCGAGAGGGTTCACTTTTGTATGGTATGAGATCCCATAACCCCAATCTTGCCCAAAGCACTGCCTTCAAGACATTAGTCAGATCAAGATCCTCCTCTTGCGGATGCGTAATTTAGACACGAAAGGAGTACGCAATTGATACAGACTGTATATGCCTTGCTCTCACTTAGCGCGAATGTTATTAGCGTCGGTGCTGCATAGAACATAAATTTCTTGTTCTCTACTTTATTTGAAGGAAAGCGAAAATTTTATTTTCGAAGGAAAGTGAAAATTTTAATTTTGTACGTTCATCTACTTTAGGCCGAAGAAGAATGCTATTCCTTTGAAGCCGTCTTCAATAACATTGTATCCATCAAAAGTGTCTTCCTATACAACTAACGCTCAGTCACGCCTACGCTCTGCACAGGTGAATCCACAACGGGGAGATCATTTTGTGATTGATCATGAAGAAGAGGTAATTTACTTTTTTGACTTTGTTGACGTTGTATTTTCTTTGTTTGCAGGTCTCCTGAAAACATACCGAGCTAAGAGATGCTACGCTCGTATTCGCATAGGGGCTGATTTTCGTTGCTATTTGCAGCTCAAGCTATCAGCAGGGATCTTTATTTCGATAATATTTGACCATTCGACTTATTGTCATTTGAGAGATAGACTATATTACTATCTATTTATACACTGTCAGTTATTAATTTGCAATAACGAGCTCATTTGCGGCAGCGCTTTTCAAGAAGAGTTATTACCCTTGGATCCGTCGCTTCTGCAGGAAAAGAATGTATTGAAGGAAATCATAGCCTTTACCATTTTGTTTAGTAATGAGTGTTTCCTTGGTTATGGTAAAAGAACTATCAAGTTGCGTGATCCATCTGACTTCTTCCCTGACAGTGCTGCTGCTTCTATCTTTTCTTGAGGCTATTAATTTGCTAAATCTTTACCTCAAATTTATCTCAATAATTCTTCTGCAATTTATCCTCTTCTCCTTGAATGACAGACACAGTGGCTTTACTTTTCGATTATTTTCAGCCCATATGGCGTACCAAACGTGTGAGCTTTCATTTGTAAACTTCTTAGTACGGGAATCTATGTGTCCACATCTTATCTGGCCATTGTGCTGTTCATGTTCACCCTTCGCAGGTCATATAGTTTTTT